ATTTCGGAGGGCAGTTACAATTAAATGGCCAAATGGCTTGAAGAAAATAGCGACATAGAACGAGAAAGAGAGAGGGACAGGGTGAGAGAGAGAGAAAGAGAATTGGAGTGTTTTTAATAATTTATGTGGTATTAAAAAGGCTTCACGTTATTAATAACATTACCGAAAACACTTTGGCCCCGTTGCAATACATACACACATATACACACTCATTGTCCAACTGCATGTACACACGCGAAATTCATAAAAACCGATTGAGCCTATGATAAAATTGCGTGCTAACCGCGCAGCGACACTGGAATAAGGAAAAAAAGGTAAATATTGAAAAAAAAAACATGAGAAGCAGAAACATAGCACACGCTTTATTATACCGTAAATAAAAAGCCATGATTTATTAGTAGCTTTTGAGACGTGAATTTCTGCGAGTGGTTCACTTTGGCTGTGTTCGCGGCCAATCAGCAACAAATTAGTTTATGAAGCCATTTTGAACGGACCATCACTCGAATGCCTCTCAACCGGCTGCAATTATTTACATGCATAAAAGAAAAAAATCGATGTAAAACACTACACGCTGATGCCAAATATTTGAATCACCAAACGAATTTTGTCGCCCGAGCATATAATAAATCTAGATAATGTCATAATTAGAGTGCAAAAAAACCGCCTCTTTCACCACAAAATGATTCGCGAATATTTATTCAAAAACCAACAGAACAAAAAAACTGATGTTGAATGAAGCGGCAAATGGTTTCATTGGATTCGTTCACATTTGAATGACGTCTTATGTTGAAAATGCAAATGTTTGTTGACGCTGCACCGTCGCTTGATATCAAATATGCCATAGTAAAATATATTCCTCTGTTCTTGATGTTAGTGCGCCACTGAACGAAAACAACAACATCAGCACGATGAAGCTTTTTTGCATGTAATTGTTTCGGTGTGGCTGTGGTGCAGCGGTTTGCAAACTGTGTGTGTATATGAAATTTTAATTAATTTGTTTGGTTTCTACGAAAATAAACGAAATTTGAGAATGAAAAAAAAAACACACAGACAATTAAAAGCCGCCCGAAATGTACACGCACGCGTTCTGCCATCTAAGATGCGCGGCAAACGCATCGGGGAAAAATTACGGCTAATAATAAGTCACATTGGCATTTGCGAGTGATAAAAGTGAAAGCGAAGAATTTATTTGAGGAAAATCAAAGTCAAGAATGCGGCTTGAATTGACGGTGCGTGCGCTTGTGCGTGTATATTATGAAAATGAAGTGACAAACCCGAACCATTTTGGACATTTTAATTTGTGAAATGAATGGCCGTATTTTTTTTATCTTCTCTGCTCTCTATCTGCTCGTCACATTTCATGGATTATAATGTTACGCGCATACAATGGCATTATCATTAACCGCTTTAATAATAATAACAAGTGCTGCAATAAAACTGCGCTGAAATGTAAGCGTCAACCGAAATTTAAATGGATGATTTTCGAATGTACATTCGTATTTTGTGCGTTATTATTGGGCGTCGGTTTTGATATTTCGGCCGCCGGCTAATTTCGCCTGATATTTTGCATACGCCATTTAATTCCATTTCATGTACGCGCGTAATTTGTATTGCAATTTTATAAGTGCGTACGCTCGCGCACACACGAGTCCCGATGTTTGATTTTTGCGTAAATATTTTGAATATTTTTGCGTTCTGCTCGATATATAAAAATAGTGTTGGCTCATTCATAAAATGAGTTACGATAACATCATTGTTGAAAACGGCACGGCCCGAAAAACAGATTCGAATTGGTGAACATGTGAGGCGGATTTTGTCATGCGTTTGGTTGGTGAACGGTCCCGTGCTTGTCGAGGAGTGTATATTTGTGTTTGTTGGCTCGTTGATCTGCAATAATTTTCGCGCGCGCAATGCACATGAACAATAAATTGGAGTGCGTGTGTGCTTTTCAACATCAATTGCATGTCAAAGAGTGAATGCAACATGCTGTGTATCGCTTTTTTCGGCATCATTTTCACTCGGCATATTCGAGTGGCCGGCGAGATGATTAAAACACTGTTAATTGTTGAATTGTATCAATTGCAATGGGATTGACAGAGAGGGAGAGAGAGAAAGAGGAAAAAACGCACAGAAAATAAACTTTTCATTAGTGCATTACATTATCTTCTGATTGAATTCGGAGCGAAAAAACCATTTTTATTACGACGTTATCATAGTAAATAATCCACTGGTTCATAGTATGAGCATTATACAACATCAAGTGTATCGCTTCTGTTTTAACGAATTGTACAACACGTCAAATGCTGTTCACGGCGAATTTATTTTAATTTCGTTAGCCGCTGCGCAGCTGAAAGGCATCATTTACGTGAAAATGAGAGCGGCGATTTGATTTTTCGATTTGCGACCAATGTTGACAATTCGTTGTCTTTTCGTTCTTTTTCGTCATTCTGCGTATCACACGCGCATACCGTTCACGCGCGCGCGCGCGTACTCTCGCTCGCACCATCAAGCACACACATAAAAATGGACCATAGAATAAGATATATGAGAACGTAGCATTGGAATTCAACATATTTTCACGTAGACTGAAAATGATGTAGATGATTTTCGTCGCAGTGTCTGTTGGACGTTGGTTCAGGCCGTCGGCTTTGGTATATGTTTTCACATTCCATTTGTGTGATGCAGTTTCTGTGTCCTTCTCTCTCGCTCACTCGCTCGCTCTTGCTGTTGCTCTTGCTATTGTTTCATTTTTTTTGGTGTGTTCGTGTATATCATCATCATCATCATCATCATCATCATCACATTTTCGGTCTTCAGCAGATCAACTGATTTAATTTTTAACTTTGTGTAAATTTTTGCTGGCCTTTGTCAACTCTCTAACGTGAGTTGAGTGGGTTCGGTGTGTTTTTTTCCTGCTCCGGGCCGTGTTGTCGCGGCTGAATATTTTTAAAATGTGGCTGCATTTCGTATGCACCTGTAATAATTTCTGCATCTCTCTTTTACATGTGTTAAATACACTTTTTTTGAACCGGCGCGCGCGCGTTCGCGCACTCCACGGAATCGAAAGCGAAAATATGCGGCGCATCATCAAATGTTAACAAATAATAAAATATATATCAGCAACAGTAGCTGAAATATATCGACAACGATGGAAACGAGCGAGAATGAAAAAAAAATGAATATTTGTTCATATTACAACACATTCTTAAGCGATGAGGCATTGAACAATATCAAAAATACCGAATATCATTAAAGGTATGCGTGTTTGATTGAAATGATGCCTATTTGACGATGACAACGACGATGTGGACGACACAAAGAAATGTCAAGCAAACAATGAGCTAAATCAGCGAGACACAAACGCATTCACATCACCGATGTAACATTCCGCCGCTTTATTTCACATCGCATCCTTTTTTCCCTTACACTCTTTCTGCACATTGTGCGTCCTTCAGCTATTTTTTCGATTCGATCATCGAAACTGCAAACGATTCGATAAATGCAGCCAATGTAGAAAATATGCTTTTTTTTCCACCCCGTTTATTATTTCGATCATAAAAGCGAGTGAAATGCAAATTGACGCGCTGAATGAAATAGAAAGTTTTTTCTTCCCGCTTCTCACGTCGTCATTTATTATTTTTATTCGCACTGGCATTTTTCAATTTGCATTAATTACCAACTTAATTCCCACATCTCATTTCAATACATATTTTTGCGCTTGTTTCTCTTTTTGCGTCTTCGATCTCCAGCCAAATCGAAGTGTTGTAGAAAAATGCGCGTTATATTGGGGCGGTTCAATGTCATGTTGATAAGAGATAGAGAAACCGTGTAATCATCATGGGCATGATATGTGAAAATAATTTTGATATTTTGGAATTCGTCAGCTCTCGCATTTACTGTAAAATCATCCAACGTATTGCGCACAACACATCCATTTTTATTATTTAATCAGGTGTAGAAAGACAATTGCGTCGATTATTTCTTTGTGCCAATATACCACATCTAGCGTATGTGCCGGTGCTGTGTTGCTTGTCTCTCATCACAATGGTGTGTTGTCTTTCGATTTGAATGAGTCTGTTGCAAACCAAATGTGTGAACGATCGAGAGTGAACGGAATAGAAAGATTGAGACCGACGGAGCCAAATGGAACCGAACAAATGAGCGAGCGAGCGAGCAAGAGAAAAAAAAAACAGAGTGAGTGCCAGAATCCGAACGAAAGAAAAAAAAAACACTTTTTCACTTCACGCAAACATGAATAAGAAATAAAAACAGCACACGTAAAAGAAGCACGAAAAGCAAGTGAAAAAAATGCTCGAAATTCTTCTAATTCATTATGCCATTTGAAGTACATAAATTAATGATGTATATTTCGTATGAATTTCGAAGTGCACAATACAATGGAATTTATTGGTGCGCATTTGCCATATAGTAACCATGCTGTTGATGTGCGTGTTTCTTCTTTTTTTTTTTTAATTTCATTCCCAAACACATCGAGTAACGAATGGAAGAAATTGGAATATTTGAATTTGGCTCCACAAGAAAAACCTGTGCGTATTGATAGGGTAATCAAGAGAATGAGAACCAGCAATGAAAGAATGTAGAAAAAAACACACACAGAATACATATATATGTATATCAATCGCACATCGGCGCAAAAATCTAAAAAATTTAATAATATTTTCACGATGCTACTGCGATTGCTACTGCCGCTGCTGTTCAATGTATATGCAGCATTTTTTCTATTTCATTTCGATATCAATTTTTTTTTTCATACAACATTTCATCTCAGAGGTGAACATATTTTTCTGTTCGCAATAAAATGACGTTTTTAACGTGTCTGTCGATTGAACAAAAAAACAACAACAAGCATTTCACAAATAACAATTAACAAGTATTTTTTGAGTGCAGATGATTTTTCCCTTCATTTTTAAAGACAGAGCGAGACAGCAAATTGGAAGAAAAAAAATCGTTTACAATCAATGTTTTCGTTATTGTTTCAGATGGATGTAGTTCATTAGCGAATAGAAATTTACCAGCCTCCTTTTGGAATAGCAATTATATACCACCTGTACCAGCTCCAACTCATCACCAAGTACGTATTCATGCAGTATACTTTATGTTGAATTTTATCGACGTCACGCTATTTATTTTGGGCTAGTGTTTTTTTTTTTATATTCATTTTTTGTTTCGATCAATTTCATTGCAAAACTAATAAAGTGTTTTATTAAATGGCATTTTTGATGAAATATTTCGACATAGTTGAAAAACGCTGTCGTCATTTTTATTGAACCATTGAATGGAATGCAAGAAATTGTGTCGACGATAATCTCGTTGATTTGCTTTCCTATAGTACGGGTGAGCCGGTTCACTCGTTCGCTCGCCTATATGGATTTTTTTCTTCTTCTTCTTCTTTCATTTTATTCACATTTTCATTTTTTTTTTTCTGTTTCCGCAGGTTCCCGATTTATATTCAACTGATGGTAGCTACACAACTGATCCATGGGTACCACATGCAGCACATTATGGTTCATACGCTCACGCCGCTCATGCACATGCTGCCCAAGCACATGCCTATCATCACAACATGGCACAATATGGTAGTTTACTTCGATTACCTCAACATTACGGCCACAGTTCTAGGTTAGTATGTGCGTGAAATGTCTCACACACAAACACAAGGCAGGCGGAAAAAATCCACTTTGAACATTCCAAATCCTGTGACCTTTTTACCTCAAGACACTTGATCCAGAAAATAATGACAACATACTCTTTCCTTCGCCTCTTTTGTAGACTTCACCACGATCAACAAGCCGCACATGCTTTAGAGAGTGCAGCAGCCTACTCAAGCTATCCTACGATGGCCGGTAAGTTTTTTCTTCTCTTTAATTTCTTTTTTCCCATTTAATTTCCATGCAGTTGCAATGCAACATGTTTTTTTCTCTCGATATATTCGCGTCAAACAAATCCGTTCGGAAATGTTCTAAGTCACAAAAACGAATCGAGGCGACGAACCACGGAATTCTTACGGAGAGGCATAAAATTAAAATGGGTTTTAGAGTAAAAAAATTTCCGAGCGAAAATTCCAGCGATTCCCTCTGAAAAGACACAAAGAGAGAAAGAGACAACAGCGACGACAATCAACGAAATTACAAAAGCCCGTCCAAACAACCAACCATTCATTCAATTCACCTTCCACAGGCGAAAAAGTAAATAGAACGTCTAGTTAATGTGAAACCAACATTCAAGACGCAAACAAAAGAAACGGAGAGACGGGAAAGAGAGATATAGAGTGAAGAATTGAGTGAGCGCATACAATTTTCTTGGATCCATGGCCAGCCAGACACACACGCACACATCGAACACACAAACAAAAGCCCGGCAACGCGATAACTTGCATTCTTATATATCGTTTGTCTCATTCCTCTGGTTATGTATTATGTGCTAAATTACATTTCAACATAAATTTTATTATCGCAAGCATCCCATCTGTCATAATTTTCCATAATTATGAACTTAAAGGGTTCATTATTCATCGTTTTCGCATGGTTGGTGTATTGTGATCGCTGTTACTGCTGCTGCTAATGCAGCAGCGCACAAGACACTGTAGAACGCATTCGATGCGAAAAATCGCACGGCGAATGAGACGACAAAATGAAAACGGCAAGAAGAGGCTACATAATAAATGAATGCGTTGAAAAACGTAAGAATGCAGTAGTGCGCACACACAAACGAATTTTCGCAGTGAGACACAGAGAGAGAGAGAAATAGAGTAGCACGAATGTTGGTCCCCAAACACGCACACCACCATCACCTTCGCCGCTGCTGCCGCCAATCCAACGTCACAAAATGTACACAGTAGCACGACACATCTGAAAACAGGCAAAATTCAGCAGCATCCGCAGCTAAATAAGAATTTGCCACAGCACGAAATGAGATGGAGAGAAGAAAACGGCTCAACAAAGCGACATTCCATCAGAAGAAGTCAAAGCCGACGGTATTTTTATGTATGCACCGTTTGTACCCCATCATCGTAATTTCTTATCATTTTGCACTGTATTTGGTTTTAACTCTGCTCTTTCTCTCTCTCTCTCCAACACGAAATTATGTTGCACTCGTGCGTTTTTCAATTCAAGTGAGTCAAAGGCTGCATACTTTCGCCTGCAAACAAATGCAGTAACCGAAAATGGTACACGATGAAAAAGCCAGAATGCAAACCATCAACATCGCTAAATTGGTGCAGTATTCGGAAAGCGTGCAAATGAAAGGATTTTAGTCTAATTTTCGGCTTCCAAGTTATTTCGTCATTTTCATTTTGAGGCGTGTGCCTCTCTTCTTCGCATTTCTCTTGCTTTGTGCTCGACATTTTGGGGTCGACGTTGGATTTTTTCTTTCGCGTTTGTGTCCTGATCCAACAAACAATTGCAGATCGAGTCATGATGCTTTTTTCAGTATACTTTTTGCAAAATTGCATATTTTGATTGTTTAAACGTCACATATTTTAACTGCTCTAGTCGCAATTTCCACGTGCTGATACAAATAAAAAAAATGTTTGGCGGCACATATCAAATGGGAAGTAAAAGGGCAAACTTTTTCGAAAGCTATTACTCGATTGCATATACCGAGAGAATGTGTGGGAAGTCCTATCAGAACTATTTATTTGATGGTTTCTAATTCGGAAAATGAAATGAACAAAACACTCATTCACATGAACTTTTGTAAGTTTTGTTCCGATCCACTGAAGAAGTGTCAATGTCATCGACAAATGCGAAAAAAAACTCGAAAGAAAAAAAATGAATTTTTCGTCCGTAGCAATCGAGCAGCTTGAGATTGACACGTATTCAAGGTATGTAAAGTGCTCTCTCAGTTGGACATTTTTCAAGTGTGCTAAATGAAAATTGAGAACGCACAAAAACTGCTGCTTAAAGCGACATTAAAATAGACAACAGTGGAGTGAGTGAAAAAAAACCCTCTAGCAACAACAATAACAAAACCGACAAAGAAAGCTCAAGATTCAAGCAATTTCATCGTGTACAAAAACAAGTCAATGGCATTAATCGAGAAATTAATTTTAAGTGGCACACACGCATTATATTAATTATTGTTAATTTAATACGATTATTGTTATTATTCCTAGGCACTTTTTTCTCTTTTTGTTGCTGCTGTTGTTGTTTAAATATGAAATGTACTTATTTTAATTTCATTCACTATTTTTCCGATTGTTGCCATTTAATATTTAATTCGTTATGTTCTTGGTGCATGTCGCGTTTTTTTTCTCTCTCTCGGTATGTGTGTGTGTGTCGATGTTGTTTTCGGCGAATGGGTACATTTTCATTACTTATTTAATGTTTATGTAATTTGCTCTGTGTATTGGTTGGTTGGTTGGTTTTTTTTTCGCTCGGTCTCTTCATTCACAATTATCGTGACGAATATTATGTGTGCGAAACATCATTATACTGGCTGATCAATTACCATTTTCAAAATTGAATCGTGTTTGTGTGCTATTCGGGTGTCATTATAGATACACTGCACCACAGTTTACCAACAAAACCAGCCAATGAAAATAATTAAGTTACGTTTTTTCCGTCAGTCTCTCTGTTTGGCTGGCCGGCTTGCTCGCTCCCTCTCTTCAGTTGCAACAGCAGCAGCACACGAATTGAGCGCGTCCGTTTCGTTCTGCCTCGAAAATATCAAGCAGCAAGTGCAATTAATACAGTTTTAATTACCCATTTAATTGCACAAAAATGCATTAAAAGCACACCATGCCTTGATAAAAATATAATAATGCTTGAACAACAACAGCAACAATAGCAGTAACAAATATCAACCATTCACATATATACGAATTGTGTGTGCTTTTCTCTCTCTCTCTCTCTCTCTCTCTCTCTCTCACACTCTCTGTCGAATTCGGTCGTCGTCGTGTTAAAATAACGCAATGCCTACATGCATATTCATAATTTTACAATTTTTATGTCATGTTGTTCTACATAGAACCGTTGCCGTCGCACGGGTAGAATATATACACACGCGGTTTGGCGCTGAAAAATTATAATTGGATGTGAGTAAAAGGAAAATTAAAATTTCATATTTGATTGTAAGGAAGGAAGAAAAACAATATGGCGAAAAAAAAGGGAATGCAAAAGAGCGAAGAAAATATACAAACCAAACAGGGCGGCAATACAATTTATGTTGCAATTATATTGTCAACGTGCAGAGAGAGAGAGAGAGAGAGAGAGAGAGAGAGAGAGAGAGAGAGAGAGA